GTCAAACACACCGCACCCCCCCTACACACCTGTCAGCAGCATCCGCCCCGTCCGGCTCCCCCCTGGCACATTGAACCGCCATCTCAAGCGTGTTGTTGGAGCCAGTTGATCTTTTGCGCTTCCGTTTGGTAAAAGTGGTCGGGCTGTCGTTCTCAAGAGGATTAATTTCACTGATCTGGCTCAGGGTCAGGGGAGTTTCTTCGTTGTCAAACATGCTTTCATCTGGAAAATTTGAAAAAAATAATAATAATTATGTGGTGTGGCGTGACGAGACAATTGATGCACTCTCTGAACAAAACATCTAAGAACGCATATAATATGAGCACTGCCAAAGCAGATCAGTCAATCATTAAGTTAAGTCAAGTGGTCTTTCATCAGTTCCGATGCACGTCTGTTTTTTCCACTCATGAGGCCTCAACATGGCAAAGGCTCGTCCATGACTCACACATGTCAACAAAGTGTAAACAGAGTTAGATACGTGGAAGTGACCCGACAAGTGCTGGAATCTGCTATTAGACATCCACCGTATTGGTGTAAGAACACACTTCTTTCTAGTCTGCCGGTGACTGGTTTCATAATAATAATGAAGATCATTTCTATAGCGCCCACTCCCGTGTAAACACAGCTCTAGGCACTTACTTGGAGACCACTGTACTGTATCTCCCTAGTTGGTAGAAACTCTCAATCCTCAATTATAATGGTTAAGAATTTTAATACATTGAGTTTTGAATGGAACTCTTATGTAAAAACAGTACCTGCAATAGAGTTTCCACTTTAAGACTTCAACTTACAAGTTAAATGACATGCTTTTAAACTACACTGTGTCAATAAATGATTTTTAAGAGGGATCTTAATTAAAGTGGGTTATCATAATGAATAATCATGCCATTAGTTTTGTGCACAAATGTCATAGACAGCACTCCGTGTATACCACAAACTAAGACACTACCTTGTGACCACTGTGTCTCATCGGCAATAATCTGTGTGGCGTTTGCATCGAACGACCGCCGTTGCCATGCTGCCTTTTTCTTCATCTTTGTCTGTGAGCGGTCAAATGTGTCCGGAGTCATCGACACATCAGGTGCACGTCTTCGCCTCTGGACCGGCCCCATTCCCCCCTGATGTAACTCAGTAACGGTGGTCTTTACCTTCTTGGGTGTGCCAGATTTACCTTTCATTTTGACTGAAACAAAGACAGAAATATTCCAATTTGAAAATCTGATGTCAATGCTCATTCTAAAAAACCAAAACCAACAACAGAAAACTTCCGTTAGAAAGGCAAACACGGTTCATTTCTTTTTTAATCGCAGTATATTCATTTTTTAAAATTTCAAAGACTATAAAAAGCACAGATTTTACTGATCAACTATAATAGAGTTATAAATTTAGAATCAATCTGAACCAAAAACTATCAAAAACTCCACTAAACAACAGAGTAACTCATTATGTGTCTCGACATGCCATGGTGGAATCAGGTGCTTACAAGTGTTGGGGCATATGGAGTAAGTGGTTTAAAGCCTGTTCATTTGTCTTGCTTTTTATGAAAAAAATACCAGTCTATCTCGAATAGAAGTCGAGATTTGCGACTGAAGGAGTTCGGGGTCGCCTGATGTCACAGAAGTAAAATTAATGATAAAAATGCCCCAAAGTTTTGTGGCTTCCAAAGCTGCAGAGTTCTTGGAAACTAAAAATTAAAATTTGTTTAGCCTTTGCCAACGTCTTTCAGTAAAAATGCACACACCAAAAGGTGATTTTAATTTGCAGACATAAATGGTATTGAGCATCCTCCTCTCAAATTTGGTAAAACTTGTCCAAAAAGCAGGAAAATGTCACTTTCTCATTTCATTCATTTGCTTGTTCTGACCAGCGCCTGATTTCATCAGAATGCCAGACAATCAAAACAGTGCACACACACAAACAGTCAGTCAAGGCCGAAGCCACTTAATAAAGTGTCTTGTTTTAGAAGAAGTTTTATATAAAGTGTCTGAGGGAAAGCCATTCATCATTTTCATGATTATAAGAATTTTCAAATGATTCTTGCATGTCTTGTCATAATCATCGAAATTCAAAGCAATCATACCAAAAAGAAGAATCCAGGTGAGCCTATGATTTATTCGACACACTGCTAACCAGTCAGGTACAAATGACATAAATACAACATTTCAACAGACTCAAAAATAAAGCAAATGGCTATTCTCCGGCATCGCGTTGGTCAATAGATAGATCGATGGCTATTCTCCGGCTGCATCAAGATTGGTTGCACATGTCGCTTCTCCATGCAGCTCTCCACGTCCCCTGTCGGCACGTTATGGCCTTAGACAAACACTCATCACGGTCGGCATTTCTTCAGAATGTGATTCACCATAGGTGGACATGCAGCCACTACTCAAAGAAAGCCCCAGTGACGGAAGAAGGAGGAATTTCTGTGTCAGAGGTGACAGCACCTGAAGCGCCAACAACCCTCAGTCCCAACTAGAAGTAAAAGAAGGCGCATCTGGCACTGAAGCCAATTGCAACAATAATGGCCGTAACGTGCCGACAGTCGAGATGGACAGCTGTGGAGAAGATGTGCAATTATACGTGACCCTAGAGAATAGCCATCAATCTATTGACCGGCGCGAAGTCGGAGAATAGCCACTTGCTAAAATTAAAATGAAAGACGCTTCTACAATGTAAAGGACTTTGGTGATCTTGTAGTTCCGTTCGTTTAAGTCCACGATCCATTTATTTACATCCAGAGAAGAAATCCAGAAGTCTTGATGACCAAATAGGCAACACAAAGAACAGGGATGCAAAAAGATGCAACCTAGGCCCTAACTGCAAAATATCAAAACCCCCGTGAATCCCCATCCCCTCCATATTTTTATTAGGTCAGCCCCCGCCCCGCCCCAGCCCCCCGAAACCCCCCCTACTCTCGACTCTTGGGGCCCAAATCGGTGAATAATAAAATGGCCGGTTCTATTTCTCCCAATGTTCGGGAAAATAAACTTGAACTCTATTTCTCCAAACGGTTTCCGTTCTCATAATTTGTTGATAATAATTGTGAATGGAGTGGCCCGTGTGCGTGTAAGGTGTGGATTGGGGGGGCGGTGGGATTTCTTTTTACATGACGGATTTCATTTTTTGCTGGGTGACTAAATGCAAAGTAACTGCCAAGGTCGATCAGTCATGTTTTCTCGCAGTACCTTTTAAAAATACTGTATTTTCAAATGAAGTATAGTCCGGGAACGTTGCCCCAACCACAACTGAAGTATCTGAATATTCAGATATTTAAAAATCTCTAGCTCTAAAAATTGAATTTGATGCAAAAATTTCTTCTTCCCAGTCCTTACAGAATGGCAGAAAGAAAGACGATGCCTAATTCTCGCAAATAACAAAAAAATCTCGAGAACGGAAACCGTTAGGAGAAATAGAGTTCAAGTTTAATTTCCCGAATATTCAGAGAAATACTCACTTCGTAATAAAATTGGGGGTGTGAGCTGCCAAAAAAGCGCTATTCTTTACTTGAATTTTTATTTTCTGGCTTTAGTGTTTCCTTCCAGTCTCACGCTTAGTTCACTCCACAACGATTACCTGGCAATTCAGGGTCTCTGACATTGAGCTTTGGACTTAAACGAACGAAACTACCAAATCACCAGGACTTTTCCTTTGATCACGACCTAGAACTACAAAGTCTAGGAAGAGTTCCCCTGGAATTATGGAACAAGACCTTAGTAAATCAGAGGGCCTACAACAACAAACAAACATTTGATTCAGTTGAATTATTGATGAATGATTGATGTTGTATCTTCAATAAAATATTATAGGCCTAGATCTAGATCTCCAGATCTAGATAAGATCGCATCAATCATGATTTCTAGACGATTCTACATTACATTGTTCATCATTGTGTTTGTAGACCTTGTAATATAAGTGCTGCTAATAATAACTTAGATTTATATATATATAGCCTACCTATAATTAAAGACTACTAACTAGATCTAACTCTAACTATCTAGCTCTAGATCTAGTAGAACTAGACAGCTTAGACTTAGACTGAGTGATTCATGATTAGATTCTACGGAGATCTTGTCACTTGTGATCTATCCGTCTATTGCCCTTGCTCTGGCCCTGGCTCCTTCCCTTCTCTTCTGACATTTGTACTGAAGTCAGAACGAAAGCGTCTTAAGAATAAAATTCAAGTCCGTCTCATGGATGGATAGAAGCACTAGGCCTATCTCTTATCAGTTCTCATTCGCTTTGTTGTCACTGCTGTGACTGCTGTGCCAACTGCACTTACCGCCACTTCAATTGTCTTCACGTAACTCGCCGTTTCAAATCTCAGTCTCAACAAGAACATAAAAGGAAGGGTTCAGCTAAAAAAACATTTCCGAGTTGGAGACGTCAGTGTCCGCTTGAATTAACATCCACTCCGTTCTTTTATAAGAAACGATTAATAAAACCAGAGAAGGCTTCTTTTAAAATTTAAAAATTAACGAACGGAATCGGCAAGAACCAAGTGGGAACCCACCATCTCAGAGACAACAAGCGTGTTGTTTCGAGCAGATTATCCAGATTGTGAAAGAACGTAGGCCTATGCCATTGTAAATCTAGGTATTTTCAAAACAATTTCTTTTTCCGAGGCAAAATATGTTAGACCACCCATGATCATACATAAAATGACACGTATTTTAAAGCCAATAAATATATTTCTGTAAAGAAAGACATAAACTTGAACGACAGAACACTGAACATCTTTGAATGAAATGAGCCAAATCAGCCACCGAAAGAAAATCGAATTTGGCCTGTGAAGTAGGACCCGCTGAAGGTGGATATACCAACCAATCGTTGTGAGAGTTTTGTAGCACAGTCAGAGCAGTGAACTAAAACAGCTCCCAGAAAGGTTTCGCTGCTCGTGAAATTATCCTTTGACTAGAACATTTTGTGCGCAAGCACTAAATTTATACTTAGGCCTACACTTATCGTGCACACACACACACACACACACACACACACACACACACACACACACACACACACACACACACACACACACACACACACACACATTCAAACACAAAAGTAAACTTACACTCACCTGTTCTCAAATACCGTAGCCTATATAAAAATATGAGAGATGGCCAACCATGACAGGTCAATTTTTAAGCGTTATTTTTTTCTAAAAATAAACAGGATGAATCCAATAAATTAAAGCGTGTTCCTCCACTCTCGGTCCCATAACGAAATCGACAATATCCCAAAACAACTGACAATAACTAGTAGTAGTAGATCTAGGTGTAATACAAACTTACATAGATCTAGATCTAGTAAGATTTTATTTAGAGAAAGATTTGTCTCGATGGTGCTATTTTTAGCTGCTACGAGAGATATGGACTCTAGATCTATAAACTCGCAACTGTCACTGTGTCTTCAGAAAGGAAAAGATGCTATTGTCCCTCATACTTCATACTGGCAAATCCGACAAGTTCATTTCTGTTTCCCATCTTGCATAAAAACTATACATTTAATAAACTAAACACATACAATGACAAAGACAATGACAAAGACAATGACAATGACAATGACAATGACAATCTTCTGGTCTTTAACAATGGCAGTAGACGTTACAAAAGTTAGACCTAAAGGTGCACTCACGCAAACGCACAACAAGACAGGGCATTAGGCCTTGTAAATACATGTCTCACGTGCTGGGACAACCCGCTCCGTAAATCTCTCTCTCTCTCTCTCTCTCTCTCTCTCTCTCTCTCTCTCTCTCTCTCTCTCTCTCTCTCTCTCTCTCTCTCTCTCTCTCTCCCTCCCTCTCTCTCCCTCCCTCTCTCTCTCTCTCTCTCTCTCTCTCTCTCTCTCTCTCTCTCTCTCTCTCTCTGTTTCATTTGTAGCACTGTGTGTTTAGTTACCTCACTGCAGTTGTTACGAATAAATTTCTATATACAGTGCCGACAGTACGTAGTTATGTCTTCTTCAGGTGTCAGGTCTGAAGCAGACACTGACGACCAAGACAACCCACCCCTTCTGTTGTCTTGTCTTCCTGATTAGCTCGTTGAGGTTGTTTTTTTCTCATTGTGCGATTTGTTGCCAAGTTGTTCAGGCCATCTGTCTATGGCGTTCTCTGTTTTCTTCTCCTCTTCTTCCTCTTTATGTATGTGGCGGGAGAATCTCAAGTGTTTCTTCTCATGGCAGAGATTGCAGACGTTTAACAACCTGCCATTTGGAGCCATTCTTTTTCTTTTACCGTTAGTTTTCCTCTCTGTCCATGGGATTTTGAAAATTAAAAATAAAATACAAGTACACATTTCCCGGGGGCCCCAGTCTTCTCTCCGTGTCCTTATTTAGAAATTAGAGTCCAGCTCTCGCATCCATACAACAGGGTTTACCATAGTACCCTTCAGGTGGCAGAGCGGTTAGTGCGCTCGTCTCTGAAGCGGAAAGTCCGGGTTCGAGCCTCGGTTCGGACACAGGTTGTTTTTTTTTTTTCGCCCCTTCCTACCCACCCAGCACTTATGGGTACCTGACTTCGAGTTGAAAGGCGGCGCGGAAAGGAACTGGCCACCCTACCACAATATGCCTAAGGACCAGGAAGTTGTCTCACTAACAAGGTAATCCCCAATGTCCGGATCGGATGCGGGAACAACTTTACTTTACCCTTCAGGGTTCTACTTTTAGTGTTCCCTGTTCTGTTTCTGTCTGAGAAGACAGACTTCATCTTGTTGAAAGTTTCTTTACATATCGCAGTTCTCTTTTTGTGCTTTATCTTGTGTCACCTTTCGCATCTTTAAAAATTTATTTTGTTTTTATTTTTTGTTTGTTTTTTGTTTTTTTAATTGTTTTTTTTTTAATTGTTTTTTTTTTTTTTTTTTTTTTTTTGGGGGGGGGGGGCATGTTTTTTCTATTCCTCCATAGGATCAATTATACCTGAAGCATGTTTGTGTTTATTTCGTTTGTTGACAGGTATCTGAACACCTGACAGGTACATGAGCACCGTTAGCTTTCGGAAGACTTTCCCTCAATGTTTGCCAGTTTTCTACTAGAATCTACATTTGTTACGCATCAGGTGATGTGTGTATATATGTGTGTGTGTGTGCGTGTGTGTCTTAGCCTTAGTAGAGGTTTTGCGGCGCTCGCAACTGCATAAGGTCATATGAGCGCCAGAAGATTAGAGGTGTTACAAGAGAGTAACAAACATAAAAAAGAAGAAGGGGAGACAAGGACGACAGATGCTTCATGGGAAAGAAGAAGCAAACCACACCAGAGCACCCGCCAACCACCTACTGCGTGTGCGTGCGTGCGTGCGTGCGTGCGTGCGTGTGTGTGTGTGTGTGTGTGTGTGTGTGTGTGTGTGTGTGTGTGTGTCTGCGTGCGCGCGAGCGCACGCGTGCGTGCAAGTCCCCAGACCTATACGTTCTTATACTATCCAGACCCAAATTGTGAGGCAGCGTGGTGGAATCAGGCTCTCGTCAAAATAATCAAAGTGAAGAAACTTGCATTTTTCCGCAGGTTTGTGAATTTTTATCAAATATTTGTTTTTTGGCTCAACACCTTTCATGCCCATTTAAGAACTCATTTCTATGTGGATTTTTTTGAAAAGCGTAGAATAAAGGCACAAAAATGTAAATTTTCAGTTACCACGAACTCTTAAGCTAACGAAATAACTAATCTTTGAGGTCATTTTCTCACTAGTTTTACCTCTGAAAACAGGTGACCCCCACCTCCTTCCTTCGCAAATATCTCGACTTGTATTTAAGATAAATGGATATTGTTTTCATCCAAATAAAGACAAGCAAACAAGCTTTAAAATGATACCAATAACTCTACATGCCCAAAATTGACGAGAGCCTGATTCCACCACGCTGCCTCACCAATGTCTAATCTCTGCTGACAAAGTACATGTACATGTATACAGGGTGGAATGAAGACCAACGTCAAGCTCTTTTATCTGAAATGCAGGTGTTTTTACACCCCCATAGACACTATTTAGATCATTTAGGAGGCGGGCCTCTGGCTCTGACCCTGCGAACTCAGGCCCAGAGGGATACAACATCCCAGCAGAAAGACTGAAAGGCGGAGACACCCGAGAAAAATTCTCGTCACTTGAAGTTGAGAATCCAACTCGGGTCACCTGTGTGAGACGGCGAAGCGCCTAACTCTAACCACCACACCACATGCTGGCTGTCAAACTTGTCAATCTCTGACAGGAAGGAGTTTACTTTCCAGTCTTTGGAAAAGTTTCAGGGCACTTGCAACAAAACTAGGCCATAAAGAAAGTTTTTAGTTTTAG